AAATCAAACTAAAATGTGAGTTACATGAAGTTTTCGCAAGTTTGAAATAAGCCAATCTAGAAAGAGAATAAGGTGTACATTATTAAGTATTTAATTCAGGAATTGAAGTAATACACTTGACTGTAGTATTTATAAAACAGAAATGCAAAAATGAAATATCAGAAGAAATTTTGAACCTATGTGAGTTCGACGAACTGTATATAAACAAAGCATATGAGGAGGTTCAGAAAGATAAATAGAGGGGATACTGTGTTGGTAAATTGAAAATTGTCTCACCAGTGTGAATGTGTGAAATTAGTTTCGATGTGTTGACGAGTTGTCGGACGTGTGTCGTCCACTCTTAGGTTATCTAGACGAAGCCTTGGTAGAGGTGTTGGCGGGACGGATACCGAGAATGAATCAGCTTCCCTCTTCTTTCTTTTCGTTCCGTCTCCTTCTTGTTCTGGATTTTCTTCAGACCCAAAGTTTAGGTTGAGCCTGAAGTTTGCCTTCTCATCGCTTCTAAGTCGAGTTAGGCCGCACCTGGTGCATCGCGTGCTCTCTGTTGGATTTATCAGAGCGCACTCCGAGCAATGCCACTGCAGCACCGATGCAATCGAGCCCATTCTCTACCTCTACACGTAGTCATGGCTCCTTTGCTCACAGGATCACTGACTTTTGTAGCCACGATCCCCTAGTTAAAATATCACAACACTTTACGTGAACACGAAAATCAACGGTACCGCGAAACACCTTCCGTCAAGCTTTTTTTCTGCCGTGACAGTCGTCCGCCGTTCATTGTCATATGTTCCGCGACGGCCATCTTTTTTAAACCCCTTCTCGTTTATCCTATCTTTTATTCTATCTCTCTCTTCTCCTTCTTTTCTCTTTCTTCTCGTCCTTACGTTGTGTTACACAGGCAAAACAGAAATATAAACTCTAAATTTAACTCTATCTACGATTTACGTTTTCGTGACATATATCAAGTATCCTTATAATTTTACTGAAATTTCTTCGAGGTTTATTATTTTATTTAATAATAATTTCATGTTGGATATATTCCTACCTAAATGTCAATAATTTAACCCATTATCCTTTACCTTTAGTCTGCCTTTAGCAAACGTTTAGTTGAATAAAAACGTCAATCACAAACGGGATAGAGATCATACGTGTGTATACATAGTATATGTATACAACTGTATTCTGAGTTGGTTGTGTGTGGTGTGTGTGTGTGTGTTGACTACGTTAGTCGCAACACAGGACTATATAATTACAACATACATACATTACACATATTATGTTGAACATAGCGATTTACATTTACGAAATTAAAACATACATATCCTGATATTTACTACATTCCACATGAAGATGATTAACGTTCCCTACGGTTAAGAAACATACAGTAGTTAATAACAAATAATCTAAATTTTTTAAATATTTTATTTTTATTCGAGGAATTCAAATTTTATCCAATTTCAATTTCGAAATATATTTCTAATACACTACCATATTTTAATATATATGTATGTAAATCTATTATTTCCTATAGATATATCATAAGGATAATGCTACGTCGATAAAGAAGTGTACAATGAACAGTAAAATTTAATTATGACAAAACCTGTTAATTACGAAATTGTCATTTAATCCAGGAAAATTATACCGATTACATATATCTGTTTCATTCGTAACACACAATATTTTTTTAGAATTCGGTTATCTATGTTTTAGCGTTTCTTTTTATACGTTTACTGACTTGCATAAATTATTGTACAATGCACGAATGACATCTGTCGGTAGTGTATATTTTTATACATGTATTGACTATAAGAAGCGGTATTACATTGAGTCCCTGTGGCGCAGAGGATAGCGCGTTGGACTTCTAATCCAAAGGTCGTGGGTTCGATCCCCACCAGGGATGATTAACATGGGAGTATATAAGGGTTTTAATTACTGATTTTACGGTATTTGAACACCCATTGCCTTCCAATTTTTTAATCATTATTGTTTACGAAATGTACTTTAACATTTTGTGTTCAATTGATTTTGTACTTATCTGAGAAATCCATTATCATCGTAGTATTCTGTTCAGTTGTTTCTCGTACTTTAATCTTTAATAATACATAAATCGTTCTCAATTTAGGGAAGTAATTGATTGAGTTAGCTACATTAACACATTTAAAATTAATACAAAAAATATTTACGTGCATATGCACTGGGGTTAATTTAGTATTAATGAAAATTTGCTCCTAAAAAGAGTCTTTTCGAAACAGGACTAAATATTGCCAAGTAAATTAGTGTCCCTCTGATATCTCTAAAAAATTATAGTTATTTAGACCAGTTTTAAAAGGTGTCCGAATACTCTTTTTACCTACTGTACATAATGTTACGGTATTATATATAAACTATGAATTTATACTCGAATTTCCCTCTTATCGCCATTGGCGAAGATCATAGTACAGTAGCGCCATCGCAAATCGTACCTATATCGAGTGGTGGCGCAACAGTTCAATGACTCGTCGATGGCACTGAGATGGAAATTCTTCAAATCTTACCACACTGTGGTTGGGAGCCTGTGAGATAACCTCGAATGGTGCTGTTTTATGGTTTGGTGCATGTACGTAGGTTATGTAGTGTTTTTGGGAACATAACTTCTTTAGCTTGATTTACATACTGTTGGAAAACGTTTAAATATTAGAGAAGATTGTCGCAAATTAGATTAAGATAATAAGAGAATATGTTGCCTTTCAATCTTGGGACACCTGCAACATCTAGCAATACAAGCTTCGGATTTGGACAGAAGTAAATACATATACTAACCTTAATATGATATGCTAATAGTGGGAAACATTTTTTGTATGCTTTGAAGATTTTATTACAATTTTTTATAATTTTTCAGACCAGCAACAGGCTTTAATTTAACTAGCACACCTTTTGGTACCACTACATCAGCACCATCATTAACTTTTGGATCTTCTTCGACACCATCAACAACTACTAGTCTTAATTTCGGATTTAGTAGCACTCCTGTAGTGTCAACACAAACGCAGTCGAGTAGTTTAGCATTGGGAGCTAATACAAGCACTACAACTACTAGTAATAGTTTATTTCCAACAACAACTACATCTGCACCGTTGTTCAGTGGACTCAATTTTGGCACACCTGTGACAAGCAATAATCTTTCATTTGGTGTTACATCTAATATACCATCTACAGGAAACACTACTTTTTCTGCTCCTTCCAGTACAAGTATATTCAAGATATTGAATTAAAATATTTTTAATTATTCTGAAAAATATATATACATATTTATTTATAGCATCGCTTTTTGGTGGATCTGTCATCGGCGATGGTCTATTAGGATCAAAAACAGTTACCAGTACGACAACTGCTACAAATAAAGGCTTGGGAGGCTTAGATGTTTCTGCTAGCAATAAAGGTCTTTCACAAGGGAACAGTAATTCAACAACCTATAAGGAGAATGTTTGGCCCCCGGAATTAATACAAACAATAGAAAAATTCAAGTAAGATTTACAGAAAATGTTTCAAAAGATAAATGTATTAAAAGTGAATAAAATTAATTCAATGTAAGCTTTTACTTCAGAGAATTTGTAAAAGAACAGAAGGTGTTATCTTCAGATATAGCTAGAGGTTCTGTGAGACCATTGCACAGATGTGCAGAAGACACAGCATTGTTGATGGAAATCTTAACTACATTAGCAGGTTCTGTCCAGCGAGATCGTTCTGCAGCTGACAAGTTAAAGCAGGATACAGCAAAATCATTACAGAATGCTGAAATTGCACAAAGAACACACGATACTCCACCAGGATTGCAATATGAAAATAATGCACCATTATTATTCTTCATGGAATTAGCAGATAATTTTGAGCATGACTTAATGCTATTTAGATCTCAAATTGAATCAACAGAAAAACATATACAAACAATGATGACACCAAAAACTCTAACACCCCAAGGTAATTTTATCAATATATTTACGTTTATATTTTAAGAATTTATCTCACTATATGGACTATTTCATCCCAAGTGATCACACTTTTAAACATATAGCTTCGATTGTTATGAAATTTCGTAAACTTGTAAGATCTTAATGAAATTCCTTGTGAAACTTCACTTACAATTATCTTTTAGAATTAACAATGGCTATGAGTAAACTTCACGAGTCCCTAGTAGCTGTTGCTGGTAAATTACAAGGAGTACATTCAAAAGTACAACAGCACAAAGAACAATATCTTAATTTTAGGAAATATGTACTAAAAGACAATACAAATGTTTTTGAAGATATTAAAGTAGATGGAAAAGCATCTCGAAGTAATATTGGAAAAATTACAAGTGGCCCAACTCCATTTGGACCAGGTATCTTTTTCATGGATGCTAATTAATAGGTAAAATATCATATGCTTTGTACTTATTCTAAGCGTTAGTTATTTTATTTTTGCAGGAAATAAAAGTTTTCTCTCGTCAACGGCATTAAGTTCTAACAGATCAGGAAGTTATGAAACACGAAATCTATTAGGTAAATAAATCGGTTGTGATTTCATGGTATTGATATATCTTTATTTCGAAAAGAAAACCCCCAAAACAGCATATTTTTGTTGTTTCAACTACCCCATAAACATCTCCTACCTTCAGGTCTTGCGTGGATTTAGTATAAGGTAGATTTACTAACATATAACACCCTCTTAGTAGTTAGTTTTGTTTGTAATTCTTTAATTTGTAAATATTTTTTTATTTTTAACCTTATTTCCTTTATTTGATTTTGATTTTCCTTTACAGAAAAAATATAGTGGACCTCTTTTATTTTTTGAGGTATTTCTACTTCATTTCTTTTATTTATTGTCGTTTATAGGAAGGAGTGTAAATCTTATACATCTAACATATTTTTCTTATATACATGTACATCATATATCTTTACTCGTATAATAATACCTGTGTTTACTGTTTCGTACGTGGCATCAAGAAATGGAAGTGTATGTAGAGACAATGATTGTTATGCTTGCTATGTAATTACTGTGTTTTTTTATACAGGATGTCTGATAACTTTGGTGAATCGCTTCGACGGTAGATTTTACACATGAAAGCAATAAAAATAGTTCATATAAACATATTCTTCATATAACTATACTTTCTTTTTTATTGATTTCATGTGTAAAAATGATCGATGAAGTTGTTCCCTGGAACTATCAGATACCCTACATTTGCTTTAAGTGCATCTCTTTCCTTCTTGGTAATGAAGAAATTCTTTGACTAAAAAATATGTTGCTCAACATATGTGATTATCAA